TGGCTAAATGAATAATGAGTGGAAGACGTTCTAGGAATTGTGGCATGGACAGGAAGGACTGTTTGGAACCCCATTTTAAATTTTTTTTGGGCAGAGGCACTGTAGATTTTTGAAAAGTAACTTAAGACCAGATAACAAACCAGCAGGAAAGGGTAAATGGTCTACAGATTGATTTTTATTTATGTTCTGTTCTCCAAAACGAATATGTGGTAGTTTGGCTGAAGTGTTAGCAGAATTTTTGCACAAATGATAATAGTTTTCAGGAGGTATGTGTCCAGTCATCAAACATACCTAAGAACTTAAGGATAATCAGAAAAGTGAATTGGGTATGTCAAGGTTACAGTCACAGAGAAATCTCTAGTTTCTTTTTTTGTTGTTTTTGCTACCAAGAATCAAACTCAGGACCTCGTGCTTTCCAGGTAGGTGCTTGTGGTGCTGAGCTATATCCCCGGCCCTGAGATCTCCATTTTCATTAATGCTGTAGCCAGTGAAAAAAATCTCAATTCTTAACCGTCTCTGGCATTCTACATTGTCGGTAGAAATATAGACTGGTTCAGCCAGTATGTAAATGAGTATGGAGATTCCTCAAAAAGCTAAAACTAAATTCCATTTGACCCAGCTGTTCCTCTTCTCTCTGTCTTCTCAAAAGAGTTAAAGACATCATACTCAGTTTGTAGCAGCATGGTTTGTAGTAGCTAAATCTTGGAAGTCCCTTGCATGGCCAGCAGCAGATGAGTGGGTGAAGGGAGAAGACATTTAAGCAGAAGGGAGTACTGATCTGTCATAAAGATGAACTGGAATCATTTGTAGGTAAATGGATGCACGGTGAGACTGTCTTGGTCACTTTTCTCTCGTTGCTGAGACACAATACCCAACGCCCAAAATGAAGGAAGGAAAGGGTTATTTAGCTCACAGTTAATGGAGGTTTCAGTCCACACTCGGCTGGCTCCAAGGCAGATGGCACATGGCGGAGGGCAACAGTTCATGGCAGAAGACAGCGAAAGGGAGGAGTGGCAGAGAAGAGCGGGCCTCCCTCTCTCCCTTACACTGAAGCAGGCTGCCTCCCCTCAAGGGGCATGTAGCACTCACATAATCTCCACACCCTCCTCTTGCACCGGCTCAGGATGTATACAAAGTAAGCACCCTGGCTCCCTGCTGAGTCACATAGTTAACCTTCTAAAGTTCTCAAACTGACGCAGTGAACAACATCCCAGAAGGGTAAGGGCGTGTTCTCACCCCAGGATGCAGAACTGCTGAGTCACTTCGCTGAGCCTCTGGACTCCCCAAGTTGACACAATGGATCAAGCACAAGAAAGACCATGTTATGTGAAATAGGTCAGTCACAAGCTTAAATATTGCATGGTTTTTCTTGTATGAGAAATCCAGATTATAAACAGCAAAATAGAAGGTAACAGGAAGCAGGGGCAGATCTTTCTCATATGGGAAAAATACTGAGATGTGTTAACGTACGTGTACCACCCAAGGGATGTAGATTTACTGCAAGCAAACACACTACAAAAAAACTGATCTGAGAAACAGGAGTAAGAAGAGACTAAATTTTCCTTAAGGAGGTTGACTAAACATCTCTGCAGAAAACCAGATCAGAGAAATGAATAGGAAAAATGTAAATATGTAACTATGAAAATAGTCTTTTAAAATAAAAAATGAAGTTGGGTGGTAGCACATACAAGTAATCCCAGCACATGGGAGACAGGCAGGAGGATTGCCATGAGTTCTGAGGCCAGCCTGGGTAACAGGGAGTTTAAGGCCAGGCTGAAGTACATAACAAGACCTTGTCTCAAAAAAAAAAAAAAAAAACAGAACAAAACAGAAATGAGTTACCATTTCTCACAGACTGAAAAAACAGAATCTGACAGAATGGCTGATGAGATTGTAGGGGAAGGGTCCTCACATGTTGCCAGTGGTCAAGAAAAAACAGTCCCTGTGAAGGTAGGTTTCACTAATGAACTACACATTCATGTATACTTTGAACAGTCCAAATTCTATGGCTATCCCAAATGTACACTTGTACAAATCAAAAGATGTACACAATTATAATAGCAAAAATCAGAAAGCAACAGATTGAGTACTGTGGTGTGTCCATGCAGGGGATACTATGTGGTAAGAATACTCCGTTACTACTGGATAATGTTGAGAGACGCGTGTCAAAGCGTGCTCTATGCTGTTCCTATTTGAGAAGGTTGGCCATATACGTGTTGAATACCGTGTTGGGGCTGGGAGTTTAGCTCAGTGGCACAGCGCCTGCGTGGCAAGTGCAAGGACGTGAGTTCGATTCCCGGTACAAGAAAAAAATCCCCCCCCCCCAAAAAAAACCCATGTTTTGCATCTTTTATTGGAGATAAGTATTGGTCGGTAACTGCTCAAAGTATCCAGAAGAGATATATTCTTAATACAAAGAGCTCTACTTGTTTATGTTGAGACGGAGTCTAATGCTGATTTTATTACCATAGCCAAGGTGACATAGGTGTTGCTATTAATTGGTTTTCCTGAGGTGCCAATATCTGGATAGCCTTGGGATCATTAACAACACACACCAAAGGTGTACTATATCTATCTTAGATTCAGAAAAATTAGGACTTCAAAACTGAGTGAAAGAGGCAAAGGAGGTCACTACTGTCTTGGTTAATGGAACATTCCAGGAGAAAGGGGTAACAGTTATTAACATAAATGCACCAAAAAATGGTACAGTCAACTTCACAAAAGAAGTACTACTGGGCATAAAAGATCAGATAAACACTATTACAGTGGGGAACCTCAGTACTCTGCTAACATAAACAGATCAACTAGACAAATTATTAGAGTTGAATAAAACTTTCAAACAAATGAACTTAATAGGCATATCTACAGTGTTCCATGCAACAATAGAGTGTATTCTTTTCAGCAGCACATGGAGCTTTCTCCAAATAGATCACATACTAGCCAATGAGTCAACCTTAAGTAAATGTAAAAGAACTGAAATTATACCATGCACATGATCAGACCATAGCACAAGGAAGTTAGAAATAAAAGGCAACGTTATGCAAATGCATGGAAATTAAACAATACATTCCTAACAAGATGTCAAGGAAAAAGATAAGCTCCTAGCCCCTAGAGCTGAGTGATAGTGCAAGTATAACATACAAGAACTTACGAGACACGATGAAAGTATTTCTAAGTTTATAGCTGTGAATGCCCACACCGCAAAAATAGCCATTAAACAACGTAATGGTGCGCCTCAAGGTTCTGGAGAAACAAGAACAATCGAATCACAAGGCTAGCACAGGGAAGGAAGTTATAAAAGTCAGAGTACAAACCAATGAAATTAAGACCAAAAAAAGTAACGAAGAGTTAGTTCTTCAAAAAAATAAAATAGTCAAACGCTTAACCAACCTAACCAAAACAGGAAAGAAAAAACCCCAAGTCAATGCAGTGAGCAGTGAAAGAGGTGAAATCACAATGGGCATTGCTGAAATAAAAACATGAACAACTACTTCACAAACGTGCATAAATTTGAGAATTCAGAAGAAATGGATAAATTCCTAGATACCTATGAATTACCAAAATTGAGCCAAAAGGATTTAAAAACTCAGAGTTGTCCAGTAGCAAGCAATGAAATTGAAGCAGTAATAACCTGCCAACTAAGAAGAGTCCAGTTCCAGAGAAGTTCACTGCTGAATTCTGTAAAAATGTCCGGGAAGTTCTAATGCCAATACTACGTAAGCTTTGTAATGAGATTGAAAGGAAGTAATTCTTCCGAAGTTATTCCTGGAAGCTACCATTACCCTGATTCCCAAACCAGACAAGGATCAAAGAAAGAATTATAGAAAACCTCGTTAATGAATATAGATGCAAAAATCCTCAGTAAGAGTACTAGCAAACTATTTAAAGAATCATCAAAATGGACATACATCATGACCAAGTAGACTTCATCCCAGGGATGTGGGGATAGTTTGATATATGAAAATCAATACATGTAATACACTACATAAATAGAAGCAGGAACAAAAATCACGTGATTATCTCAGCAGACACAGTGAAAGCCTTGACAGAATCCAACATCCATTCATGATAAACACCTTGAAGAAAATAGGTGTAGAGAAGGACCCTAGCAAAATCTCATAAAAGCTATTTATGACACACCTACTGCCAACATCATACTCAACAGGGAAAAACTGAAAACATTCCCTCTAAAATCAAAAACAAGGATGTCTCCTGTCACCACACTTGATCAATATCTTACTTGAAACAGCAATTAGGCAAGGAAAAGAAAAAATATGTATAGCAAAGAAGTCAAATTATTAGGATTTTGGGGGGTTTTTTTTGGTTTTTTTTTCCGGTACTGGGAATTGAACTCACGACCTCGCACTTGCCAGGCAAGCGCTGTGCAGCTAAGCTAAATCCCCAGCCCCAAAAGTAAAATTATGATATGCTCTACCTAGAAGACCCCAAAACACCCACCAAAAAGCTCTTACAAGCAAATTCAGTAATGCATCAACACAAAAGCATTAGCATTCTTGTACATGAATAATAACCCTACTGACAAGTTAGGAAAAAATACCATTCGTAATAGTGTCAAGAAAAATTAAAAACTTAGGAAATAATCTAATGAAGGAAATGAAAGACCTCTACAATGACAATTACATCATTCTGAAAATTGAAATTGAGGAGAACATCAGAAACTGGAAAGATATTCCCTGTTCCTAAGTAGATAGACCCAGTATAATCAAAATGACTGTACAGTGGACCCCTGACTTCAACTCGATTTGTTTGTGGGGCCTGGTTGTAACTCAAATTGGTTTTGAGTCAAAACTATTTTTCCCATAGGAAATAAAGGAGATACCTATAATGCTCCCAAAGCACCCCTTCACTAAGCTTTTCATAATAAAAAAGGTTGTAATGTGCATAATTTACCAGAAACACCAGTATTTTCCTAACGTATTCAGCAGAAGTTATAAAGTGTGCCTAGTTTACCAGAAACAACAATTTCATACTGTGCTCACCATTCCAGTTGACGTCTCTGGCTTGCAGGAAGGAGCATGAAATGGAAGGTGGTTATTGTTTGGGAGGAGAGTCTCCTTCCATAGGAACATCAGGAATCCGGCTCTCTGGTGTCCTTTCTCTTGGGAGAGTCTGTAGCCCACTAGGGCCTACTTGCTGCTTACTAGTTTTCAACCTCTTTGGACCTAAAAACTGGTCTAAGGTTGTCCGTTTCTGTCTTTTCTTTATCACTATGCTGTAGTATGACATGGCATTGTCATTAAATAAGTGAATGCAATAACTGGCTTTTTCTCTGTCTGGGTGGGTCTTCTCTACAAATGTTTGTAGTTCTGTCCATTTTTTCAGAATTTCCTCTATTTCACAAGAACTTTGCTCCACTGATTGTGGACACTTCCTCTTCTCTTCAGAAAGCTCCTCAACTGCCATTCTTTTGCTCAGCCAGAAGTTGCTGAAGTTGTTCTGTGGACAGTTCCTCTGAGTGCTCCTCCACCAGTTCCTCAGCATCATCACTGTCTACCTGGAAGCCTGTGGACTCTGCGGTAGTGACAGTGTCATCAACCACGGGGTCAATTGAAAGCTCAGGCTGCTCTACACAGCCTTCAAAATCTCTCTCCTGTATAATTTTAGGCCACACTCTCAGGCAGATCTCAGTGTCCTTACAGGGATATTGGCACAGGATTTCTCAATACCCACATGGGAAAGGACGTAATGTTCCTCCCAGAACTCTTTAAGGGTTAAATCTGTATCTGAGACCATCTGGCAGCACTTCAGGAACAGTTCATTGGTGTAGAGCTTCTTCAAGTTAGCTGTAACCTGCTGGTCCACAGGCTGCAATAGAGGAGCTGTGTTAGGTGGGAGGAACTTGACTGAGAGCCATTGGAATTCTTTGCCAATTCTTCCCAGTCTGGGTGAGCAGGAGCGTTGTCCTTGATGAGGACAGCCTTGCGTGCTAAACCTTTGTCCTCTAGATATTGCTTAACAGTCGGACAGAAAGCCTCCCTGATCCACTCAAGAAGAAGTATTCCTGTTACCTAGGCTTTTGCATTAGATCTCCACATGACCCCTTGCCTGTTCGTGACTTTATGTTTTCTAAATGCTCTGGGGATCTCAGACTGATAAACCAAGAGAGGCTCTATCTTGAGGTCACCACTCACACTGGCACATAGCAATGGTAGCCTGCTCTTCGTAGGCTCATGGCCTGGCACTTTCTTCTCTTCCTGGGTAATATGTATTTTCTGGGACATTTCCTTCCAGAAAAGGCCAGTTTCATCACAGCCGAAAATTTAATGAGAGCAAAAGCCATTCCTCTGTGTTATTGTTTCAAGGTGGCGTATGTAATTTTCAGCAGCCTTTTTATTAGCACTGGCTGCTGTACCATCCCTAGTAACGCTAGGACCTCCAGGTCTCTCTTTAAAATTGTGAAACCATCCCTGACTGACATGAAATGTTTCACCATTATCACTCACTGATGGATGATCCTTTATAAGATCTGCATTTATAGCTCTAGCATTTTCACAAATTATGTGGGAGTCGATGGCCTCTCGGTGGTCCCCAGGAGAACACGGCGAGAGGATTTAGAAAATATAGGCAAGAGACAACAGATAGCTGGGGTCAGGTGGAGTTACCTCTTGCCTGATGAGCATGAGGACTGACCTCAACAGGAGGGGTGTTTATTTTATACACTTGCAAAGTAGCATCCTGAGAGATAATGTTGCCTAAGGACTAACGACTGTAATGGTCCAAGCAGGATAGTTTTTTCAATACTGAGGCAGCTTGACTGCCTGAGGCACTCTGGCTCTCTCCTACCCTCACACACAAGAGCTAACTTCCACTGCTCCCAACAGAATTATAGAGTCAGATAGGCTATAACCTGCCGTCTGCCTTTCCACACTGATACTAGCCCTTCTACTTCATCTAATAATGATCATGACTTACTATTTTGAGTAACACCTTTAGCAACAGTAGCTTCCTCATACAAATCTTTTCTCTAGGATTGTTGAGATGATGGATTTTAACAGGGTGTACGTATTACCAAGATCTTCCACACAAAGGCCACAACGTGATTGCTTTCTTTACCTTCCTTTTCTTCCTCAGTCTTTTTTCTAGTTTTTGGGGGCCATTTTGATAGCAGTAATCATAGTGATTATATAAAGCACCTACTAAAATCATATCCACAGACACATGTACCTGGGCTCAGGCTGATGTTTACATATGCTTACATACACTTTTCTGGCATCATGAGCCCTTGTGTAGAACTCCACAAGTGTCTGGCATTCAGGTCATAGCTCAAAACTTTGGCCATAAGTTAAACCTAAAATTCCAGTCATAACCAGGGTGTTCATATGTGAAGCTGGTCATGACTCAGAAGTCCACTGTACTTCTAAAACTGATACAGAGATTTAATGCCAGCCTCACCAAAATGCCAACAGCATTTCTCACATATTTAGAGAAAGCAATCATAAAGTTCATAAGGAATCAGAAGAGACACAGAATAGCAGAAGTGATCCTGGCTAACAAAAACCAAACAAGAAGCGTCGCAATCCCAGATCTGAAGTTATGCTAAAAAACTATTGTGATTAAAACAGCATGGTGCTGACATATAATCAGGCATGTGGATCGATGGAATAGAGGAAGCAGAACCCTCAGGCACATTCAGCTTTTTGATATTTGACAAAAGGACAAAAGACATACAGTGGAGTAAAGATTGCTTCTGTAATAAATGATGCTGGGAAAATTGGGTATCTTTAGGCAGAAGACTAAATCTAGACCAAATATATCTCACCATATACTAAACCTAAATTAAAATAGATGAAAGATATAAATATCAACACAGAAACTCTTAATCTGCTGAAAGTTAAAACAGATGAAACTCTTGAAAATATAAGCATAGGCAAGGACTTTCTGAGCAGAACTACAACGGCACAAGAAATGATAATGTCAAGAGTAAACAAATGAGATATAAAATTTAAAAGGTTCTGCACAGCAAAGGAAACAGCCAGCATGAAGAGAATGGAAAACATTTTTTGCCAGCGATGATGGTTTGTGTCTGGATGTCCCCACAAAGCCTCATGCAGACAAGGGGTAGGCTTTTAAAGTTTATGATTGATCCATGATCCAATGCTGGGATTATGGGTACCTGCCCTGGGGCAGATAGTTTGCATACATAATGGAGAGAAAGAGGCTGCTTGCCACCACTCCTCCCTTTTGCTGTTGTTGCTTTTGCTGTTTTTTGCTGCCATAAATCGTTGCCCTCTGCCCTGTGTCACCCTGCCTTGGAGCTAGCCGAGTATGGACTGACACCTCCACAGACTGTGAGCTAATAAACCTTTTCTTCCTTGATATTGGGTGTCAGGTATTTTGTCTGAGCAATGAGAAAAAAGTGACCAAGACACCAGCTATTCATCATACAGAGGACTAGTCATCATACAAAAGACTCTTCTACATCTAGCATGTATAAAGAACTCGAAGAGTTCCCAAAGCAAAAGACCCAATCAAAAAATGGGCAACTGAAATGAATAGACACTTTTCAGAATAAGAAGTACAAATGGCCATGAAAAGCTATTTAACATCACTGGCCACCAGACAAATGCAAATTAAAACTACATTGAGATACCATCTTGTCACAAAAAGAGTGACCATCATCAGAAAACCAAATACTAACAAATGCTGACAGGGATGTAGGGAAAAAGGAACTCTTCCTCACTGTTGGTGGGAGTGTAAACTCGTATATCCACTATGGAAATCAGAGTGGAAATTCCTCAAAAATCATACTGGGGATTTCTCAAAAAAATTAAAAATAGAAATTCCATTACAGTCAGCTATCCTTTCTCTAGGTATGTTCCCAAAAAGTTAAAGTCATCATATTGCATGGATATATGCATACTGATGTTTATAGATGCATAGTTTGTAATAGCTAGATCTTGGAAACAGCATATATATCTATCAATAGATTAATCAATAAATAAAAATGTTGTATTCATACACAATGAGGTACTACTCTGCCACAAAGAAAGATAAACTTGATCCATTTGAACATGTAATGTTAAATAAGTTGCACACACAAGCCTAACATGTTCACAATGGGGCTATAATTCATATGTCTCATTGCTGGGAAGCTCTGATGTAAATTCCACCATCTTCTGCAAAATAGCTAGCCACTGGTGGTTCAAGCTGCCTGATGGGACAGTCATCCACGTACCTCCGGTGTTCAAGCTGGCAGGATCGTGTTAAATATCATATGGTTTCTCTTATATGAAAATATATAGAGATATATCAAAATAGAAGATAGATAAGTAGGAAGTAGACAAAAATTCAAACAACTCTGCAAATTATCTATTCTGTTGTTTAAAAAATATTTTAGGATGAAAGCTAATTCGTTTCATTTATGTTACTAGTTTCTTTTGTTCATTGAATAGGAAGTTTTACCTTTTATTTATTTCTTCTTTGTAGGAGAGAATAATTTGTTGTTGTTTCTTTTGTCTATGACTTATACTCTGATAACATTTTGGCTATTCTTTTAGGATTATGATACTCTTTATTTTGTTATGAAATTTTGCTCTATTTTTCCATAGAAGTAAGAATTGTTTTGTATTTTCTTTATTAATATCTACTTGTATTACACTAAAATTTAAACATTTTCAAAAAAGGTAATAAGATAGGGTGATGGATTTTTTTCACAAATAGGAAGAGAATCAAAAGATTTGAGGGAACAGTGAGGGATAGGAAGGGAAGGGGATGAAAAATGAATTAAGATGTATTTTATAAACATGTATCAACCACTGTTAATCCCTATCATTTGGTTTGAAACCCCATATCATTTTTGATGTCCTTGCTTTGTTTTGTTTGTATTTTGCTATTATTCTTTTTTGTACTATTTTCTTTAAAATAAAAATTAAAAAACTATTTTATAAGCATACTAACTTCCCATGAGAAATGTAATCATCATGCATTGCAAACACATACTAATATTAAAAGTTTTTAAGATAAATTAAAAATATTAAGAAACCAAGTACTTTGCATGAGGACAATAGGAAAAATGCCTTGGGGCATCTCAAAAAATGGCTAGACCCGTCCTCACAAGCTCAAAGGTTTAAAGGGGGGAAACTCCTTTGAAAGACTGTGCTTTGAGAAGAGCGTCACATGGAACTCTGGTCACTCAGGTCCACCTATGGAAGTGTATTCCCACAT